GGAAATCTAAAAGTTTGGGAATTATAATATACAAATCTGCAAATGTGCAGGACTCCCCCATTCTCCTCTCGATGTGTAATGCTAACTTTCATTAGCTCTCGTCAAAAAAAGTAATATTCTTCATTTGCAGAAGATATGACAATCAAAACTGATACCTCTTTTGAGACAGAAATTTAAAACATTGAGAGTAAATGCAACTTCTGTAAGTAAAGTTGGTTGTCCTTATACAGCAGCAGCTGCACACTTCCTTCCTGTAAATTCCAACCACTGAAATTTCTGAACAGAAGTTTCTCAAGACAAATCATGGAACAATAGTATATCTAATAAAGAGCAGCATGAATATAGCTTATGGTTTTTATTTCCCCTGAAGACTGTATCTTCTTAAGATACCTGATGATGAGGCTGCACCAGGACAGTAATCTGTTGACACATCATTAACACTAGGTTAAGTGAAGTATTAAGAATGATCTGTACTTTATTTTATAATGCTACATGACTGCCTACTACAGTATATGTGTTGACTCCCAGCTTGAGAGCTTCTTGTAACATATTTTTTGCTTTTTTTTGCTGTTGTTTAACAAAAGCTGTGATCATCGTTTCCTTTATATTTGCTCCTGTCTCATTCCTGATATATTTACAAATCTCTCCGCACTGCATCACAAGTATAATAATACATAATCTCTAAGATTATCAGTATGATTTGCATATGTAGATAGTTTTCTCCACTTTAAAGAACCAATTTCTAGAACCTATTTGTTTAAAGAATCTGTTTGTTTCCCTCTATTCATCCACTCTTTTATCTGCTGGAAACCTGAAGGAAAAGAAACTGTAGCTTTTTCTACTTGTTCTAAAGAAAGACTTTCCTATGTTAACATGAGCTGATTAACACACAACTTTTTGATAGGAGTGATATAAACATATATGCATACGTTTATATGTCATATTCTGTTTTATGCCTGCTTCTTCAAATGCAGAGCAAAATCCTGTTTCTCTTAGTCAGGTGAGTAGGCCAGCCTGATTTACTCACCATAATGAAATGAACAGAATTTGCCTGCCAATAAAAATCAATAAAAATCTTCTTTCAGTCATGTAGAGATTCCATTGTCTCCGGCTTTATCTTTTTTCCCCAGTAAAAATGTATATTTTGAAACTTAAGTGATTCAAAGATTCCAAAGAATTCTGAATCTGGCAATGAGGAACACATAGCACTAGTTTATATCTAAATATTTTTTAACTGAATTGCCCTTTGGAAGTACTATTTCTCAAGTATGCTTAGAGTATGACTGCTGAAGTTAAAAATGATGAAACATGCTAATGTGTAGTTGTTGTTCTAACATCCCAGGACATTGTTAAACACTATTTTTTGTATACATCAACCTTAAGTGTAGATTAAATCACAAATGGCCTGATTTTCAGAGGCCCTAAGCACTTGCAAGTCTTTTGTATCAATAAATACTGAAAGTATTCAGCATCCGTAGCTATTTATCCAAAATTCTATATATATATATAGCGTAGGCATATTTAAATCACTGGATTACTATACCAAAGAACTTAATTGTTTCGTGTAAGTGACATATAAAACCATCATAAACAGCTAAATGCTACAAGTAAGTGAGTAAAAAATAGGTTGTTAAAACTTGTGACTAAGGTATAACAGAAGTCACTTAAAGAGAGACAAGATTACACTGCTCTTACACATAATCAGGCTGTATTTTATTCAGCTGCTGGTCCTTTTGGGTCAGTCTGAAACCCGCAGTCACTAAGTAGCACTTTACTTCACAGGTACTCATTGATTTTAATTGGGCTATCTGTAGGATAAAATACTACTCAGCAGAAATAAGGGAATCATACCCTGGTCTATTGACTTTACTGGTTCTTACTGCAAAGCAGAAAAAGTGTTATGCATTCCTAATAAGAGTGAGAAAATCTCAGTCTAAATGAGAAAGCAATTATTTATTTGATTTTAAATATTTATAGAATGAGTTGAATGTACTAAGTAATACAGCACACACACACACACACACACATATATATATATACACACACACACACACACACATACATATACAAGTTTTAATAACTCCTGCTAGAGAACTGTACCATTAAACACTTGCTGAGAAAATAAGAGTGAAGGAAAACAGTTCTGTTTTAGTGCGGGATTATCATGGTTCAGTAATATTTCTGAAAAAAATAACGTGAATATTAACTAGAGAACACTTACACAATCGTTTAGCTTTCCCTTATGGAGGTAATGAAAAAAACTGCTTTTTGGAACTGATTAATGAAAGGAGCAGCTATTAATACAGCAGCTATTTGGATTCTGTATCCTTTTTTCTACTGGCTATACCTTTGATTCCTAACTGTGCAATTTACTCTTTCAGAAACAAGTTTCCTGGAGCGATTAAGGATATATTAGATCCAGAGAGAGGGCTCATCATTTTGTCTTTCTCTATAAGTTTGCAGTTTGAATTTTACATGATCAAGAAGTACTGTACCAGACACAAAGTGGCATCTATATTCTAAGTGCAAATTTTATATAAAATTTACTTTAGGGATGTGGAGATGTAGAATATTAAATGTATTTTAATAAGACAAAGGTATGGTGAAGAGGACTGGATTTCTCCATCTGACTACTTTAATTCTGAGTCTTCCCTAAGTAGACCCCAACTACTGCATGTCATATGATGTATTTGTTCTTTTAATATAATTACAAAATATACTGTTAATAGTACGTTCAAAGGGATGTTCACTAGTGAAAAATGAGTGTTTCCTAATCTACTGGTTGGACCATCTGAATATCCGAAACACTCTGTATAGATACTAAGGGGAAGCAAAAAATAAAATATTAGATATGTCAGTATGTGCTAGGAGGAATTGTTTAACATTTGCCACGGTTGCCATATCGAAAACTCTTATAGAAACCACAACACACCTTTTTAAGGGAGGAAATTCCTCTTTTAGCTTTATATAGATCTCAGGAAAAAAAATCATGACTGATATTATACAGTGAACACTGTAAAAAAGAATCATATTTTCCATAGGGATTTTACACTACAATTGAATCTTTACTACTCAGTAGCATCAATACATGAATTAATTGCTTTATATAGACATTACATGGTTGTAGGAAAGTATAACTTTCTATCTTAGTAACTAGTACACTCATCACTTGGAAGAAAAAAATAGCATTCTGATCACTCCATTTTACAGTAAAAAAGTTGACATTATTTAAACAAGTGTCACTGAAAATTATTTGTCTTTTAAAGCATGAATTATAAATCAAATTATCTTCGATCGTGCCCTAACCTAAACTCATTCCTGAAGTGTCACTTTTTGTTAAAATCAATTTCAGATTTTAAGTATTGCTCAACTCACCTAATTGATAGCAACACAAATTCATGATAGGCATAAAATGAAATTGTTTCTGTGACACAACTCAATAAATAGTGGGTTGAGGATTAATTCACAGTGACCTTGTACAGATAGCCTTTTTTTTCTCCTTTTATCATAAATATTCAACTTACGGACAATCAATTGCTAGAATTTTGATTACTTAACCTGCCAATTACTAGTGGCTACTTCTATTTAGTTTAGAAAATTAGATGCAGCTGGCAACTAGAACATTCGTTGTTCACAGACTGCACAGCATGATAACTCAAAGGTATTATGAATTTTATTTTGGTACATCAAGCGTCTACAGTGCAACTTCTTTCCCACTCGCTGCGTACACAAAATGAGTCCGTGTCACTTCTGATACACTCAGCTCATTCCCCTATGACTCAGAACAGCATATTAGGAGAACCACAGGATAAAACAGATATGACATTTCAAATATATTTAATAGTCATTATCCAGAGCCTGCATTCAATCCAAACGTTAAAAATCACTTTGGAACATACCTGTAGTATTTGAACATTAAGATGCATTAATCATGAAGTAATGCTTTAAATTAAATCAACTGGAGCCAAATTCTGTCCTCACCTTCAATCTGGAAGTTCACTGCTCTGGAATATGTCTTCTGAGTTTATACTTTCAGCTCTCTGCTAAAAATTAAAATGGTCCAAATTCTGCCATTTCTCACATTCATAAAAGTCAGTAAGACAGTGTGGATATAACTGACAGCAGAATGCAGCCCAGCTGTAATTTCTAAATCAGCTTTAGTAGAAAACAGAGCATGTAAGTCTTTCACTATAAAGCAATAATCAATATTGATTCAGGCTACTGGAAATCTGACTAGTTGTTTTGCTGTTTTATGACAGGATGTGAATTTTGTTAACATTTGAGGGTAGGAGGGAATCACCACATACATTTTTTTCTACTTGACTAAGCAAAATTTTCAGTGCGGAAGGTTTGGTTGTTTATGGAGAGAGGAGGAGGCAATGGGGCCCCAATGATACTGTTCTGTGTCAAAAATAAGTATTTATGTATATATATTTTGAAGAAGGAAATTTAAAAAACTAAAAAAAAAAAAACGTACATCTTGGAAAGATAGCTCATATTTACATACAGGATTGGAGGGCTATAATACACTGTTGCAATAGATGTCCTCAGTGTGTAGAGTTTCTCCCACAATCTGTTAGTTACTGCAGATGACATGACTGCTTCAGATATGCCCTCCCCCTTCTCCACCCCACATCGAAGTAAAGTGAAACCTGTAGATGATCCCAACTCTGTCTCATGATCTTCTGGAAAATACCCCAAAGTGCCCCAAATGTATGAAATGCCTGCCTGCCCTCTCACATGCACCTCTTTTATACTGCTGTAACTCCATTTATTTCAGGGCAGATTTACTTTTGAGTCACACAGGAAACACCAGTGTGACTGCAGAAGCAGACCCACCAACGTGATCTGCTTCCACTTTTATTTTATTAAGTCCACCTCTCTTAAGTGACTTGTGTTGGTCCCTTCAGTGGTGCCTTACAGCAGATTTCACTGCAGACAAAACGTAAAGTTAAACCAGCGTCTAAAGTGAGGTCCAGGGTATTCTAAAAGTCTCCTACCTGAATTATGGACATCCGGCTCGGGGGAGCCTCGCTGGCGTTAGTCCCTTGCCCTGTGAAGCTGGTGTGGCAGCCCACATGTCCCTGGGGTACAGTCAGGTTGTTGGAGGCGGGCTTCAGGTACATCACCTCAGACCTGGGAGAGCTGAGGGGCAGGCGGGTCTGGTAGTCAAAGTACATGGGTGAGGTGGCCAGGGATGGGCTGCTCACCACGTTCATGACATTGAGGGGGCCCCGGCTGTCCTCGCCCTCACTGGGCACCAGCATAATGTCATTCTTGCTGATCTTCTTCTTCTTGCCCTTGCCCCCTCCACTGCCACTGCCTCCTCCTCCCCCGCCACTGCCTCCCCCTCCTCCCAGCTGAGGGTGGCTATACTCGGCAATGCGACAATTATAGGTGCGGATCTCCTTGTTTTCTCGCTTGCATTTCACGGCAATAGTGATCATGGCAGCCAGTAAGATGATGGAGACAGTGCTCAGGGTCACAATCAGGGGCAGTGACAAGTCCCAATGTGGTCGTCGATGCTGCTCGCCATTCACCTGCGGCTCACCAGCCTCAGGCAGGGGCCCAGCCAAGGCCCTAACAATGAGCTTGGCCACTGCAGAAAGGCTGGGCTTGCCGTGGTCACTGACTTTTACCACCAGTTCAGCCACAGGGCTGAGCTCCTCCCAGTAGGGGTGCAAGGTACGTATCTCACCACTAGTTGGGTCCATCTCAAAGAGGTGCTCCTCATTGCCTTCCACAATCTCGTATGTGAGGCGCCCACTCTCCCCAAAGTCACTGTCCAGGGCGCGGACGGTGCCCACAGGGTAGCCCACACCAGCATTGCGAGGCACCTGCAGCTCGGCAGTGTCGTTGATGAGGGCAGGCAGGACGATGAGAGGTGCGTTGTCATTGACATCTAGCACAGTGACGCGTACCGTGGCATTGCTTTCGCGGTGGGGCGAACCTGAGTCCTTGGCCAGCACACGAAATTCAAAGTGCTTGGTCTGCTCATAGTTGAAGCTCCTCAGGGCGTAGATAGCACCATTTGTGGGATTGACAGAGACATAGGTGTAGATGGAGACGTCACCAACATGCCCAGGCAGGATGGAGTAAGAGACTGTCCCGTTTTGGCCCAGGTCAGGGTCCTGGGCCAAGACAGAGCCCAGGTACTCTCCAGGGATGTTGTTTTCAGGCACCTGCAGGACATAAAGGCTCTTACTGAAGCGGGGTGGGTTGTCATTCTCATCAAGGATTCGGACAGAGAAGGACTTGGTGGAGTTGAGTGGGGGGCTGCCCCCGTCACGGGCTACGATGGTCACATTGTACTCATCCTGTGCCTCACGGTCCAGAGGCCGATCTGTGACCACAGTGTAAAAGTTGTCATAGTTCTCCTCCAGGGCAAAGGGGATGGCACCGGGCCCGCCGCCGCCGCCCAGCACTCGGCACTGGAGCTGCCCGTTCTTGCCTGAGTCACGGTCAGTGACCCGCACCAGGGCGATGACGGTGCCTGGTGGGGCGGCCTCGCTCAGTGCTCCCTGGCGAACAGAGACAAAGCCAATGGTGGGTGCATTGTCATTGCGGTCGATGAGGCGGACAGTAACTTTGCAGTGTGCCGGGATAGGATTGGGCCCCAGGTCTCGAGCCTGGACGTCAATCTCAATGAGGCCACTTTCCTCATAGTCCAGGTTGCCCTTGACACGGATGAGGCCGCTCTGTGGGTCAATGCTGAAGAGGTCACGGACACGTTCAGGCGCGTAGCCGCTGAACGAGTAGAGCACCTCCCCGTTGGTGCCCTCATCGGCATCGGTGGCATTGAGGTCGATGACAGCAGTGCCCAGTGGTGCATTCTCTGGCAGCTCCACCACATAGGAAGCAGCCTCAAAGACGGGGCTGTTATCATTGGAGTCAATGAGGCGCACATTGATCTGCACCGTGCCGGAGCGTGGTGGGTCACCACCATCCAGCGCTGTCAGTACCAAGGTATGGTGGCTCTGCTCCTCACGGTCTAAAGGCTTCTGGATCACCAGCTCTGGAAACTTTGTGCCATCACCACGGGACTTCACATCGAGGGAGAAGAGGCCATAGTCATCGCGGGTAAGCAGGTAGGTGCGCAGCCCATTGTCCCCGGCATCTGGATCGTGGGCGCTAGTGAGGGGGAAGCGGGTGCCTGGTGCAGCATTTTCCGAGATGTCCATGTCCACTTGGTCGGAGGGGAAAGCCGGTGCATTGTCATTCAGGTCCTGGATCTCCACCTTGATCATGCAGATCTCCTGGTCGTTGGCGAACACCTCGAGTGACAGCTGGCACTTGGCGCTGCGTTGGCACAGCGCCTCACGGTCTATGCGCTGCTTGGTGTAGAGCAGCCCACTCTCGCCGTCCACGTCCAGGAGGTGTGGGGCCGAGTTCTCCAGCACCCGGAAGGTGGATTTGGGGCCGCGGCCGCCGGAGCCGCCACCGCGCTCCGGGGGCAGCAGCCCACCGCCTGCAGCACCCGGCTGCAGCCGCGCATCACGGCCGATGGTCCCGATGACCGTGCCTGCTCCC